AAGGCCTCATCCACTCTGCCATGGTGCAGCAAGTATCTTTGCCTGGGAGCCCGGGTGTGTGCAGATAGCCACAGCCTGTAAAGGTGGCCATACATGAATTGAAATGTGGCTGATTCAGCAGGGATGGCCAAATTACGATCTATGTATAGGCAGGTTGGTTGTACAGAAGTCGATCTAATGATTGACTTCTGTACAACCAGCTTGTTGGGTTATTCCTGAATAATCAGTTGCCGACTATAGCCAACAACACTGATCAGTATGTTCTGATGGAAATGAAGGCTCTCCAATAGCACAATGGCAGTGATCCCCGCATCCACATTGTGTGTGCGGATGATGGGATCCGGTCTTTTTTTTTTTTTTTTGGTGAACCCATTGGTTGAACAAAAAAAGATTAATGTATGACCAGCTTTAGTCTACAGTGCCTTGAAAAAGTATTCATACCCCTTAAAATTATCCATATTTTGTCATGTTTTTCCAGGATCAAAAAAAATAGCAAATGCATATTTTTTACCTGCAAAAAACAGGCTTTTTTTTTTTTTTAAAGTGAACTCATCCATTAATGTAATTTGTATCAATAAACTCTGTAGGGGAAATTTCCCCAATTTGTAACTTTTTGTAGTGGTAGTATTCCAAGAGCACCTCTAAAGTCCTTCAAATCTCAATTTCCTCATACTATATAGTCTATACAAAGCAATGATAGCAGATGCAGCAGCACAGGAAGTGTTTACCTGCAGGACCTGCACCCTAAGGACAGATTATGTTTCTTGGAAGCAAGCTGCTTACACCCAGGGCTGATCATCAGTCCCTAACCTCTAGTAATCATTCCCTTTAAAGATACTTCCGAACAATGGTGGGCAGCCATGACCGCTGTCAGTCTGTCATTTTACAGACTTACTGAGCACAGCTACATACCTGAGCTTCTGGCTGAAGTTTTCTGCAGGATACTTGCCACACTATATCCTATTTGGCAGTTTAAATAAAGTCTGAAAAAAAAGGAGCCGTTCAGATGACCGATCAGGGAAAATCCATGATTTTTGCTGGCAGACACATTGGGGTTAATGTACTAAAACTGGAGAGTTCAAAATCTGGTGCAGCTGTGCATAGTAGCCAATCAGCTTTTTAACTTGTTCAATTACCCTCCGTTCACATCAAGCCCGAATTTGAAATCGTGCGACTGAGGCTATGTTCACACTAGCGTTGTCAGCAGGCGGTAGACAGGCGTTTGGGAAGCGTTTTTACCGCTCTCCAAACGCCTCTGAAAATTCTTCACATTGCAGCTCATAGTGCTGTTCACACAGAAGCGTTAGCGCCATGTCGCGGCAAAACGGACGCCTCTGGTCAAGTCAGGAGGAGTTGAAGCCTGCTACTCAAGTCTATGGTGCCGCTCTGTGAACGCCTGGCCGGCGTTTGCGGTGCAGTTGCAACGCAGTTGCGGGGCGTTTGTGGAGCATTAACACCATTCAAACTTCATTATAGGCATTTGTGGGGTGGTTTTATCGCTTGGCAAACGCCTACCAACCACTGCTAAACCGTGCATACGGCGTTTTTTTGGAGCATTTGCGTAGCATTAAAAACGCTTCACAAACGCCGGACTAACGCTTGTCAAGCGCTATAGGGGCGTTTGGCAAGAGTTGGAAAAAAAGTCAAGTGTGAACGAGCCCTTACAGTGAAGTCGCATGATTTCAAAGACAGGGGACCCGCTGAATTCAGGTGCAATTTGCAAGACCCCTGATACAGATATCTATGCAAATCGCACCAAAAGTAGTGCATGTACTACTTTTGAAATTGGTGCGACTCCGACCAAGTCAGAACCACACCGATATGACAGCTCCAATTGCGGACAATAGGGTGCGACTTGGCATGCAATTTGCAAGTCACAAGGCATGCAAATCGAATGCGAAGTTGTGTCCAGTGTGAACCAGGGCTTAGGCTTTGACAGAATCCCTGGAAGTTGATTGGCTTCTATACACAGCTGCACCAGATTTTGCACTCTCCAGTCGTAGTAAATCCCCCCCCCCCCACACACACACAGTGTGAGAACAGATGCCACCAGCAGCATCACAGCCAGATTTGTACCCTCTACAAATATATCACTGGTGGCACTGCTAGGTCCTGGACAAGGGGTGGGCAGGAGGGGAGGTTGCCCTGGGCACAGACAAGCAAGGGGGAAAAGAATAGATGCAGGGTGGTACACCCATTCTATGGCATATATTAACAGTGGGAGAGGGGGGGGGGGCACAATTTTTGATTCTTGCCCTGGGCACTTGACGACCCCTCTCTCGGTACTGGTGGCCACTGTTCACATGGGCATTTAGATGTGATTAGAGCCTCTGACTGCCCATAGATGTTGACAGTTTACATCCAGGGCCAACGTTTCTAACCGCATAAAACAGGCCACTGCAAAACGTCCAGCTTGTACGAGGCCATAGCACAAAATGCGGGGTACAGCTGCAAATGAACGCTGCAGTCTAGCTGCCTGTAGGTCTGATTGAGCCCCTCTCAGTTCCATCAACTTCTGCCCTGCAGCACCGGGGTCCCTGGTTCAAATACCAGTCAGGACACTATCGATATCGAGCATGCATGTTCCCCCTGTGCTTACGTGATTTCCTCTGGTTACTCCGGTTTCCTCCCACCCTTGAAAGACATGCTGGTAGATTACTCACCTCCTGTCTGCGTTAGCCCTAGGATGAGTATGTACAGTATGTTAGATAGGGACCTTATACTGTAAACTCCCTGCGGGCAGGGAATGGTGTGAATGTACAGTATGTAAAGTGTACGCAAGTTGTCAGCGCTCTATGAATAGCTGTAATAAATATGGAAATAGACTTTAGGTGGCCATAAACAGACATTTCGCTGTATTGGCTGAAATTTGAGCTGTAGTTGACCCCTGTGGGCACCCCTCCACTTGACAGAATTGATCTTTCCTTTGTTGAAGGAGCCAGTTGGAAAATTTTCGGCTGAACAGCGCCTGCATCGAATCAGATGAGGTCTCTGCTGGGGATTTAAAAGCCACTGTTGCAACTGCCACTGAATACAACAACCGGCAGCAGCAATTCCTCCATCCATGCTGTTTATGAATAAATAGATTTTTATTGTTCAGCCCAGGAGGACTGAATGAGGGAAATCTACACTTCTATTTAAGTATGTATTCTTAAGGCTACTTTCACACTGATCCACCAAAAAAAAACACAGCAAAACCGCATAGGCATTTCTACCGCGCTTTCTGGGCATTTTTTAAAGGACACGTGACCTAAAAATTGCTCCAAAAACGCTTCTCAGAGGCGTTTTTAAGGCACTTTCTAGGTGTTTTTTTTCAAGCGTTTTCCATTGATTTCAATGAGGAGAAGCATTTTCGTGGCTTTTTTTTTTAACTCCCCAAACATGCCCCAAAGATGCTGCAAGCAGGAGTTTTTACACCGCAAGTACAACGCCCCAGTGTGAAAACATACAAAGATATACATTCACATTCACAGGGAAACAGTTTTCTTGCACTCCTCAGTGTGAAAGTAGCCTAACTCCAAATCTCCAAATTCGCTTCTCAGCCTTTTGGCTAAGATCAAGTGTAGTATCTGTTCTTATCCAGCAGGGGTGCTCCATCATTCTAGCTTTGCGGGGATGACTGGTTGTATAGTACCCCTGCTGGTATGATGGGGGTCCTGATGGTTAGTACAGGCTGGAACAGAAACCGAGGCGCCCACAGGCTGCTGGGGCCCGGGAGTAATTCCCCCTGGAAAACCGGAGGGGCCCAGTTCCTCCTGATTTGAGCGGATCTACCTTGTCTGGCCAGGGGCCGGGAAGGCAGAAAGTCCGCGAACCAGTGCCCCCTGAGTGGTCGCCTCAGGGGTGCTCTTAGTAACTCTTGGGTGTGGGACCCCAACGTGTGAAAAGGCACATGGTCACTGTGTTCAAACACTTTTCTTGCACTGTGCCTTTAGGGCCGGGCCTTTTGGCTAAGTTCTGGACAATTTTTGCTACAGGCCTCAGGGCCTGGCCAGTGCACAATCTGCACGGCCACTTTATTTATTTTATTTATTTAATTTATTTTCTCCCACGTTTGTCACTCTTCACTTTTGTGTGTGTTTTATTACTCACAGGATGGAGGGTGTGGGTCCTCGGGCCTACCCTGAAGTCTAGGGGGAGGATGTGTGGCCTTTTGGTTCCTTGCTCCCCTGTCCCTAGGGGGTTTTCTCTTCGGGAGAGCCCCCTTACCAAGTACTGAGTGGCTGGCTTCGGCTGGCCACAAGGAACGGGGTCCGCCAGGCCTTTTGGCTAGGTGGACCAAATGGGAACCTTGTCCCTGTCATGAGCTTTGTGCCCCGGGGGATCAGGGTAGAGGTCCATCCCCTTCGGGGGAAGGACAAAGCACACCCCTAAGTGCACTTTTTTGTGTGGTGTTTTGCACTTGCACGTTTTTTGTGAACACTTACTAGTTTTTCGTTTTTAAAAAAAAAAAAAAACCCTCCAAATTCCAACCTCTTGTAAGAGAGTAGATACGTTCTCCATGGTCCCACTGTATGTAGAAACATAGCCACCCTCTCTTATTTACTTCTGAGATGAACTAGAAACTATGGGATGTGAAGTGTGCATAGAACAATGGACATGACCACAACTAACGTACACTGCTCCCTACAAGCAGAAGTGAGGGGGAAAATATGAGCTTCAGGAGCTCACAGGTGGGGGTTGGGGGGTACAAGGAGGCAGAAAAACAGGAAGAAATTATTTCATGAAAAAATAGATTACAGGGCCAGATTTACATCTCAGGAGCCTATAGGCAGAGAACTCTGATGCACCCCTCCCAAAAGAAGTCTGTTTTTTCTTGCTAAAATATTTTTATATAACTATTTTTATGTGTAAAAGGGGAATGCTGCAGCCTTTGATGTAAAGGGGAACACTGAGGACTGTGATGTAAGGGGGAACTCTGATGTAAGGGGGTTTCTGGTCACCAGTGTGAAAACATACATAGAATTTAAAGTGTTACTAAACCCAGGCCCCTGCATTCACTATATCTGGTCTCCCACAGTACACAGAACATACAAGTGCAATTTTTTTTAGTAAACATTAACTGCTAAATACCTTTTCTCACCAGCAGTTAGAGCAGTCTTGTGACTTCTATCAGTGTCCAGCTGAGCACTGGTTAAAACTTGTAGGAGGAGTTTTCTTTCTGCTCTAGGAGAATGCAGAACCCCTGACCTCTGTCTGGACAGTGCTGATTGGCCCTGTGCTGATCACATGCACTTTCCCAAGAAAGAAAAAAACCTCTCTAGCAATACACACCAAACTGAGCATGTGCAGCTTGCCCCAAGGTTCTATTCTATTAGCAGATGGATTGGGGACAGTAGAAGGGGAGGATCAGAGAAGTCAGGATCAAACAGCATTTTGATACAATGCGGAAGATTAACCCCTTAGGTTCCATGATGAGTATAGCAAGCATGCTTTACTGCATATACAGACTGATTTTACTGTTGTGGGTTTAGTAACACTTTAAATATGTATATGGCATACCTGTGGGATCCCTGTGGAAGCTGGAATTCCCTTTAGTAGGCACCACTACTACAGTGATTTCTGCAAGCTTCCAGGTCCCATGCCGAATGGCTGCCATGCTTCCTTATAAACTGCTAAATACCTATTCTCACCAGCAGTTAGAGCAGTCTTGTGACTTCTATCAGTGTCCAGCTGAGCACTGGTTAAATGCTTGTAGGAGGAGTTTTCTTTCTGCTCTAGGAGGATGCACAACCTCTGACCTCTGTCTGGACAGCACTGATTGGCCCTGTGCTGATCACATGAACTCTCCCAAGAAAAAAAAAAACTCTTTAGCAATACACACCATCCAAGCATGTGTAGAGTGACTCCACAAAATATGTCTTATCAGGAGATAAGAGGAGGACACTGGAAGAAAGGAAGGATCAGAGAAGACAGGATCAAATAGCGTTTTTTACACAATGCAGAGGATTAACCCCTTAGGTTCCACAGTGAGTATAACAAGCATGCTTTACTGCATATACAGACTGATTCTACTGTTGTGGGTTTAGTAACACTTTAAAGGTAAGCATTTTCTTTAGCTTTTCAGGTGCTTTTGTAGCCTCCCTAGCGGTCTGATTATGTCAGTATTTCTGTGCTCAAAGCGGTACATTTGTTTACATGGAAATATGTATTTTTTTTATTGTAGGCCTGTAATTTTTAGGAATAACTCACTGAAATCTGTCCGAACAAGAGTCTATTAAACATCCCGGGTATGATAAAATTTGAAACACAAAATCATAAATTATAATTTAATAAATAATCATAAAAAATAATAATATAATAATAATAAATTTAATTCAATAATAAAATCAAACCAAAAACACTGAAATTTGAAATATAGCGCCAAGTTCGCACATTGTTGAGCTCAGTCACAAAATCATTTTCAGTGTCTGATGATGAATTTCCCCACAAATCATTATCACTCAATTCTGCAAGTAGTTCTAATTTACTATCACTGTTCTCTAGCTGGTCTAAAACCGCTTTTGACCTAAAGGGACGCTTTTTGGACGCCATGGACGTTTCTCAGTTTCCAGGCAGAAAGAACAGTAAAAATGCAGGCAGGGCACAGGACAGAGCACTAGGGACAAAATGTATGTGAAATGGTTTGATACAGTAATGTTTTACTATGTGATTTTAGTGAATTTAGTGAATGTCACTTTTTGTTGATTTCAAATTTCCCGCCGTTCCGTCCCCGTACGTCCCGAGACGTCCCGCAAGAGACGGAATCCAGAAGACAGATGCCGGCATCCGCAGGAGGACATTGCCAAGGACACTGCAGGGAGGACATCGCGGGAGCGCAGGACAAGGTAAGAGAAGAACAGATCCCAGAGCAACGCCGCATGGTAAGCCCGAGTGTAGCTCGAGGGTTACCGCTTGTGGTGCTGAAACTTAACCCTGAGCTACACTCGGGAATAGCGCCAGGGAGGCTACTAAATAATCATAAAAAATAATAATATAATAATAAGTGTAATTTAATAATATAATCAAACCAAAAACACTGAAATTTGAAATATAGCGCCAAGTTCGCACATCGTTGAGCTCAGTCACAAAATCATTTTCAGTGTCTGATGACGAATTTCCCCACAAATCATTATCAATCAATTCTGCAAGTAGTTCTAATTTACTATCGCTGTTCTCTAGCTGGTCTAAAACCGCTTTTGACTTAAAGGGACGCTTTTTGGACGCCATGGACGTTTCTCAGTTTCCAGGCAATAAGAACAGTAAAAATGCAGGCAGGGCACAGGACAAAGCACTAGAGACAAAATGTATGTGAAATGTTTTGATACAGTAATGTTTTACTATGTGATTTTAGTGTATTTAGTGAATGTCACTTTTTCACATTTTTAAATTTCCCACCTTTCCGTCCCCATATGTCCCGACGTCGCAGGGAACGGAACCCAAAAGATGGATGCCGGCATCGGCCGGAGGACATTGGCGGGGACACTGCAGGAGGGACATCACGGGAGCGCAGGACAAGGTAAGTGAAGAAGAGATCCCGGAGCAGCGCCGCATGGTATTCCCGAGTGTAGGTCGGGGTTACTGCTTGTGGTGCTGAAACTTTACCCCGAGCTACACTCGGGAATACTGCCAGGGAGGTTAATGCAAAAGAGCTTCAAAAACTCCTCAGTGTGAAAGCAGCCTAAAGAGTAACTATAGATGACTATAGATCCCGTGTACATATAATACTGCAAACAATATATAGAAAAAGGGTTTTAAAACACAATATGAGTACACAATGATCCAATTATTTACAGTATAGCCAGCTGAGAATGTTCACATGAAGATCTAAAAAAAAAAAAAAATTAAAACAGACAAATAAAAAAAATAGTTTCCCTTTAAAGATGAAAGAGTTAAAATGCAGATTGCTAAAAGAATAATCGCCAAGACAAAGTTCCTGTTATCAGAGTCTCAGCAGGTAAGGAGACATATAATGACATTTGTGTTTTCGGGATTGTTCTGCTCCTTGTTGAGCGGTAAGTTGATTGCGTCTGCATATCTGTATTTGTCAGCAGTGGGCTCCATTATTCGGTTTCTCATGCCTCTCTTATTATATGAACACAATAAATCTACAATGTCTAAGTGTGAGAAGAGCGGAATGTCAGCTTGTCACATAACAACACAGCACAGATCTGCACTGGCACAACTGGCTTTGGAGGAGGTATGCTCCTCTTGTCCCTTCTTCCTCCCCTGGATGTCACGTTATGATCCTCCTCCTAGGGAGGCTGTACTAATCTGCACGCTCTCAGATAAAAGGCAGGATGCCAGATTCTGGAACCAGTTTCAAAAAAGCATGCACAAAGGACTAGCAGACTTCCATTGTTCTTTCTTGGAACGATAAGCCATCAGCTCTGCAAGGAACCCTATTGAAATACTCTCGCCGTTTACCAACCGGGCAGGAACGCCGAACAGCATAGGATTCTGTGCCAAACCATGATGTATCTGAATTCTCTCAATCCTGACGCCTTTTTGTGTGATAAAGCCAAGGACCTACGATCGTCGATCAGCACCTTAATTCACAAAGTGGACGTCGGACACAAGCTTGTCCCATCCAGCTTTTACAAAAAGAAGGACAGTCACAGGTAAGCCAAGAGTTCACCCAGTATCAATCAGATCTACAATGAGATAGGTTTGGGGGGAAGGGATGAATCAAAAATCAAAATTCAAGAATAAAGCAAAAAATTTGTTGTTATGTTTGCAGTCAAAATTGCAAAAAAAAAAAATCCCTAAAGAAATATTTGCAAGCCTATATGGCATTTGTGTCTTTTTTTAGAAACAGGTTTTAAATTATGCGCTGACGTACTGCTATTGCAACATTTTGTCTCACCTGTTAGACTGTGATTGCACATTTTTCCTTGACGTGAGTAAATTGTGCAGGTGACATGTACGCCGTGGTGCAATGTCCCTTCTATTTATAGGCAGGCAGGTTTATTAATGACTTGCATTCGTTGTAGTTGGGGATGTGAAAAATGACTTTGGATTGGTTGCTATGGGTCAGAGCAATATTAAATAAGACCAAATCTGATGCTATGGAACATATCAGAAGGATGTGAAAAATATCAAAATCTTATTATTTTATCTCTCTGTAGAAACTGCATGAAAGAAGCCATGAAGTGGAAAGAATCATTCAGTCAACTCCTCAGTAGCAAAGGTGAGCAGGGGCTTGGCGAATCTTACTTTTGTAATGAAAGGTGCGCATAGGGTTGCTTTACTAAAATTGGAGAGTGCAAAATCTGGTGCTACTGTGAATAATAGCCAATCAGCTTGTAACTTCAGATTATTCAATGAAGCTTTGGCAATAAACCTGGAAAGTGAAAGGTTTCTATGCAGAGCTGCACCAGATTTTGCGTTCTCCAGTTTTAGTAAATGAATCCCATAGAATGTTAAAGGGCAGATAATGCAAGGGGCTACATATGCACTAACCAAAAAAAAAAAGCACATGAGCTGAAAAGTACTAAAAGATCAGCAGGATTTTTAACAAGGCAGAGATGTGCTATGACTCAGACATCAATTATATTTTACCAGTTCAAAACAATTAAAATTCTTTTTTGAGGGCTGCTATTATGGTATCCTGCACTCTTTGTTAAGTTTAATATCACATATTCAAAAGGACAATTTGTATGGTCGATCATTTCATTTTTATTGTGCAGGAAAATATTGCCCTTATTTCATACATTTAAGTATAAACCAACCATGGTGTTCTAATCACATTTATTTTTATGTATTTTGAACATTTATATTTTATTTGCCTCCTAAATACATTAGGTGGAATTGATTAAAATGGGGCCAGATGGAATCTGGAGCAGTTGTGCAAAGCAACCAATCTGCTTCTAGCTTCAAATTGTTTTAAAAATAAACGCTAGAAGCTAATTGGTTCGTATGCACAGCTGCTCCAGATTTCATCTGCTGCATTCTGGGTCTTATATTCAGTGGGGTAAATTTACTGAAACTGGGGCACTCAGAATCTGGAGCAGCTGTGCATGGTAGCCAATCAGCTTCTAACTTCAGCTTTTTCAGTTAAGCTTTGGTAACAAAACCTGGAAGCTGATTGGTTCCTTTGCAGAGCTGCCCCAGATTTTGCACACTCTAGCTTTAGTAAATAACCCTCAGTATATTGTTCAGCCCTTTACACTGCAATGCCAGCCTGGCTGAGCAATGCCGACCTGGATGAGCAATGCTCTTGTCAAACATGATTAAGTAACAATGCACAATATAATAAGTATTAGAGTCTATACTGTAATTGATGAACATAAAATATGGACAATGTAATATACAGTATTCAGGAGGCAAATAAAATATAAATATTAAATGCATACTTTTTGTGTGTGTGTGTATATATATATATATATATATATATATATATATATATATATATAAAATTTAATTTTAATATATCTAAAGCCAAAACTATTGTCATTTTGGGGTGGTTAAAAACCATCTCACTGGGTAGATTTCCCTTTACGTTGTCATGTAGACACAACAGAAAGAAGAACCATGTCCAAAAGCGCAGGAAATGTATTCGTAGGCTCGGTTCACCCTGCTGCGACTTGGGATCCGACTTGTGAGATCCCAAGTCGCATGACATGTGAAATCCCATTATAGTCAATGAGAGCTGTCTTTCTTAGTCACTCCGACTTTAGAAAAGTTTCCTGTACTACTTCAAAGCGACTTCTATCCGACTTTTTCCCATAGTGTTAAATGGAAGTCGCCTCCAAGTTGGATGCTCATCTATATTGATGTGATTTGGATCCGACATTACAGTCGCATCAAAGTCGCACTTAAGTCGCAACAAGTCACCAGAAAGTCGCACTGTAAGATGCATGACCTTCAAATCGCAGAGCTGTAAACTGAGCCTTAGACAGTTCACTGCAGCAAGCATCTTAACCGGTAAATTTCCCCTCTGTTCCTGTTTTGGTGACACCCAATTCTGAATTTTCCCTCACTTTCAATCCAAATGACAATGGTCACCAAAGAAGCTTAATCTTCCTCATGGGGACAGAAATACCAATAAAAATATGACAGAGGTTCTAACCCCCTCACCATTCAATTGAAAGCATACAAAAAGAGTTTTGGCTTAGATACACTTTTAAATGGCACGTTGGACTCTCCATAGGAAGTGAATTGAGTGTGAGAGGTGATTTGTGAAGGGCTCCTCTTAACGTCTGCCTCTCATCCTGTCTACAGATGGGCTCTCAGCCTTCCGCACTTTCCTGAAAACCGAGTTTAGCGAGGAGAATCTGGAGTTCTGGGTTGCCTGTGAAGAATACAAGAAGACGCCTTCAGCCAACAAGCTTCCTGCCAAAGCTCAGTGCATATTTCAGGAATTCCTGCAGACTGGAGCCCCTAGAGAGGTAAGCAGTGCTTACTATATTTAGCATCCTGATAAGAAGATGCACTGTACAACTGGGATTCCAAGGGTCAGACATCCAAAGTTTTAAAATGAGATTAACTCATTATGTATGCAACTCATTATGCATGTACAATCTAAACAATGCCCTGGAGACTTGAGACTGTTCAGAGTTAATTAAGACTAGGCGGGCTAGGAAAGTGTGCACTGAGACTTCTAAAATAAAAAAGAAGCCTACGTGGTTACATTTCTTCAAAGCTATCTTAAACACACAAATATATTTAGCATTTTCCTTAATTGAGGGAGCCATTTTCTATTTCTGGTCAACAAGCTCTTTTTAAATATCTTTGTATAAATATAAACCCTACAACAAAGGTCCCCAAAAAAGGGAACAAACATTTGTACCAAAATTAACAATTACTTAGGCCACTAAAATAAAAAAGTTTAAGGTATTATAATAGCTGCAGCTTTAAATGTATTGCCCTGAAACATTTTGCGGCTGGAAGAGTTGTTGGCACATGGTGAGCCCAATGGACCAAAATATAGTTAAAGTAAAAGCAAAACTTTTTTTCCATTTTGGATAGAGTAAGGGAAGTTTTTTTGCCATCACTTTGGGGAGATTTCTCTTCACTTTTCCGATAGCCTAAACAGGAAGTGAGAGCACATTTCTCCAAAGTAGGTCACTAAAACTAGTGTCCCCACTGGAATATTTCCCCTCTGTTTTGGTGAAAAACAAAATTTGAGATTTTATTTCATTTTCACTTTCGGTCGTAATGGTAATCAACACAAACAGAAGGGCGAATCTCTCTAACCAAGGAACAGACAGCAATTAAAAAAACTTGACAAGTGTCCTAATTTGCCTCCACTTTATCCAACTAAAAATAATTTCCCTTTAGTTATACTTTAAACCTCTGGCTGCTATTGGTGTTTAGATGGTAAGCTAATTGTCAACATTTTTTGTCTACCCAGATAAACATTGACCATCAGACCAGAGAACACACTCGCCAGCAAATTGCAGTCGCCTGTCGTAATTGCTTTGACTCTGCCCAAGAACAGACCCGTATTCTGATGGAAAAAGACTCTTACCCACGTTTCTTAAAATCCACCATCTACCAGCAACTGCTGACCCAGTCATCTATTAAGAAACTAAAGTTCTCCTTCACATGAATGAAGACCAAGTGTTGGAAGTAAGCTACGACATTGAGAGTAGAGCTCAGTTCCAGTGATCTAGAACCAGGTTCATGACATCATCCCACCGCCATGTGTGTACTGGAGCCTGGGCGTTGATTGAGAAGACTTTCGAGCAAGGTCCATCTGTGTAGATGAGCGCCCGAGACAGTGGGGCAGAGAAGACTGTGTATAGAATGGATTTCTGAGTCCTAGTCCAACAAAATTTCCTTGGCACCAGTCATGAAGATGCCATGATAAGACTGGGCTTGCCAAATCCAATCCCTGTAACCTTTACATTCATACATACGTTAGCAGGATTGAGATAGCATGAGAGAATCTCTATATAACAGACTAGAACTCACAATGGTGTGACTCCTAGTTGATGTACTAATGTTTGTGCAATGTGTCTGTGCTGCTAAATGTCACTTCCTCCCACAGCTGTAGTTTTTTCCTATAGCCAGGGAAAAAATCTGTTATTCCTACTGTTGCTATGTAGATAATTTATCAAGTGTCTGGAAATGAGTTTTCACCTGGGACTCAATGTATGCCAAGTGTTTCAGCAGTATCCATTCATAATGATGAGATCCAAGAACAATGGGAGGAAGTAGAGTACAATGTTGAAAAAATGTGACACATTCCTAGCCAGTCTTTTTCCTTTGGCAAACAGGAATTGCAGAGACTTGTCAACAGTATTCTGGATGTGGGAACTGACCCAACAGAAAGCTAGGTGATGAATGTATAGAAAGCTCCTGTGTTGATCAAATAACACCTGCAGCATACATAAGTACATATATGTATATGTGTGTGTGTATATACACTGTATATATTTCACATTTTATGTTCAATATATTTAAATGTTGCTGGACAGCTTTTTGTAAAATTATTATGTGGTGATACAAAGGAACATATTGTATTTCTGGAAAATACATTCATGTATGTTGATATGCTAATTTATATGAATTATTTAAATAAAAAAACAAATAAAAGTAAATAAAACAAAGTAAAATGCATTGTTTTATTATTATTTATATTTTTATTAATATGGATTGGTCTAACATGCACATTGTGCAATCATTTTGTAATGACAAGACCATGCTGATCATAGGACACCTGCGGCTTAGAGCAGTAAGAGCGGTCATAGCACTTAGCAAAATCAACTAATTATGGTTATTTATATATATATATATATATATATAATATATATATATATTATTTTTTTTTAATCTAAAATATAGTTATAACAGAAGGAATAGGAGGGCCCTGCTCATGGAGCTTACACTCTAATGGGAGGGGGGAGGAGGTACAGAAGGCAATAGCTGTCTGATTCTTAGATGTGATGGCTGTATTAGTTTTCTTTTTGTGGGCTTTTTTCCTTTTTTTTTTCAGGTGATTTTTACCAAGAACACACTTCTTGCCCTAGGGTGACAATGCTCACTCACTGTACTGCACCTGCATTGTCTCCCTGGGACAAGAAGTGTGCTAGGACTGCAGAACAGCTCCATCTCATCTCCATATCATAGAAGGAGTGTTCTGTAGTCCACAGAGGTGAACTGGGCAAGACTTAAAACAGTACTAGTGGTTTCCGTGCAGAACAGAAAGCGTGCACATGAATTTAGGAGCCACTGGATTTCTGGCAGGATTAGCTGGTATTTTTTTTGTATCTGTAGTATTTTTAATAATAAAACATGTGAAAAATGTGCAAGTCTTGAAGAAATGTACTGACTTTTTTTTGCCCAGACATACACTTTAATGGTCGCCATAGGACATTTATGGGTAAGTCCAGAAATTAATGAAGTGCACATCCCCCTGATGAAAGTTAAAAGGCTTTCTTTCACTCGCACATCATAAACCACTTTCCTTTTTTAGCATTTACCGGTCTATACAGATGAGTATTACAAGTGTATATAAAATCAACAATATGTTACCCAAGATAGCACACTCTTGTTTTTGTTTTTGGAAATACAACATGATACTAGGAACAGAGCGTCTGCCTCTTCATATTTTCTATTTTCTTTGTGGATCCATATACCTCTTAGCAAGTAATCATCTCTTTAATAATCAGGGAACACAGTATTCAAAGTCACTTAAATTCCCTTTCTTCCCCATTCTGATGCTCAGTTTGAACTTCAGCAAGTCGTCTTCACCTCGTCTAGATGCCTAAATGTATTGAGTTGCTGCCATGTGATTGGCTTATTAGCAATTTGTGCTACCAGGCAATTGAATAGGTGTAATCAATAAAGAGGCCGGTGAATGTATATACACACACAGACACACTCTTAAGCAGCCCATAGATTATACAATTTTCTTTTATTCCACTACAAGTAGAGGGAAAGAAAATCTTTTGATTGCCCCATCATTACAGTTAGTGTTGATGAAGGAATCTCTCCCACTGCACTATAGTAGTCTGACAGTGGGAGGTTTCCCCACCATCAGAATACAATGATCACTGCTGGTAGCTTTAGTCGCAGACAGTGATGGCACTAAAAAACCCCAGACAGGCTGTCCATGAAATTTGGCTGGTTCCCGATGAACTGAATCTCAATCCGATTGAAAAGAAAGGAAGGAAGGAGTAAAAGTAAGGAAGCCACAGAGCTCCCTTTACATCATAGTCCCTCTTACATTAGAGTACTCACTGGGAGGCAGGAGAGAAAAGGGAGGGGACAGACTTCACTTTATAGTGGACGGATGGATCGGCAGGCTGCAACTTTCTAGCTGCTGGGTTTTAAAACCTCCTGCCCACACATCTCTTCTTCTCTGAGGCACAAGACTGCCAGGGGGTGTGGGTGGGGCAGACACAGGAGGAGAGGGCAGATGGAGGAGGAGCAGAACCAGCTCTCTATCTCCTCCTCTCTCTTCCATGAGAGGGTGGGGGGGACAGGAGGGGGGGACAGGAGGGGGGGATTTGTCTGTCATGGTTCCAGGCTGGTTATGGGCTGTGAGGGCTGATGAGAAATAGGCTTTTTCAGTTCAGACCCCTGCAGCCTCTTGGGGACCCACCACAGTGGCATCAGAGCAGACCGGGGGGCAATTGCCACCCACCCCCCGGCCCAGTCTGCCCCTGGATGTGGGGTCAATCAGCCACAGCTCAAAGAACTCATAGTAACTTCTGGAGGAATCTGGTTGAGAACGGTTGCTCTATAGTCATAATATGTATATATGCAGCGCTAATGATAAATGAATAATATATAAAACATAAATGATTTGTAAAACAACATCAGCAAGAAAACATATAAAATTGCGCTCTGTGGCGTTAAAATAAATAATGATATATATTATGTATATAGCAGCATAAGTAATCAATCATATAAATGTGCGCTCTATGGCGCGCTTAAAACAGTAACCTGTGAAATCATCCAAACTTGACTTCATAAGGTGCATATGGTGATATATAAAAATTCAAAGTTCAATAGCAGCAAAAAGGTGAAAATCTGTGACCATGGTGCCAATAAGAATGAGTGTAGATTGCACTAACCAGAAAGTGCAAACGAATGCGCATTTGAGTAAATGAAGACCAACTCCTGGTCATTTGCATCTGGAAACTGGAACACTAGGAGTCATCTGGCAAGTGTCAGCAAGGCACGTAGCACACCATAGGAATATCCAGGCTCCAGAGATACATTCTTCAAACAGCAGGGGGAACCAAACATGCAGGTAATGCAGGGTCAATGGGATTCACCTTGGAGGGGGGGGGCTCGTGATGAACAAACCAAAAAGAGAAAATCTCCAATAATGTAGTACTTTTATTGAAACATAGGGGTGATAACAGAGCAAATTAACTCGCAGACTGTGTTTGACAGAAACCAAGATGGCCGTCCACGTGGGCCGTGCGGAGTGACGTCACAGGGTAGGGCACCTCCCTAACGCGTTTCGTGCCCGTATGTTTATATATGTTTATATGTTTTATTGCTGATGTTGTTTTACAGATCATTTATGTTTTATATATTATTCATTTATCATTAGCGCTGCATATATACATATTATGATTCTAGGAAAATGTTTTTAGAGGTTTCACCTTTTATGCTAGCGGCTACATTTATTTTATCCAGTGCTCGTTTATCATTATTTATTATTGTTGCTCTATAGTATTCCCCTTCACCTCTCCCCTGGCTCCTGCAGTTATGTAAGGAGGAGCAAAGGATCTGGGCCAGCACAGACAGTGATTAGACACTCCCAGAAGAGGAGAGGGTTATTACAAGCATGTAGGAAGGGGTCTGTGCTAGGGAACATTTTCTGAAATAGTCAAGTTTACCAGCAAGTTCAGAGGCACATTGCAAATTAACAAAAAAAGAATTTATGGAAAACAAAAATGCTTCAAGTATTCAAATACTTGATTTTTCTGCATTTTTACCTGCAATTATGTTAGGTTGTTGACGGGGTTGCTAGTCTAACCCACTGTAGAATAAAAGAGAGATAATATGCAATGCATTTTGAACCATAAATTTACAATAATGTGTATGTTTTATATGAAATGCATACTTATCAGAGGAGCTTACAGAAGGATCTAGTGTGACTTAACTAGGTTTGCAGAGGTTTATACTTGGCTGGTCAAATTGCTGATCTAGGGACACAGCTCATCTTTGCTCGAGCAGCATGACATGACTCCTTATGTACGGATCAGCAGCTTACTGATGAGGGCAATTCCTGTATATTCATGTGCTCTGCTGCCATACAGAATCAGGAGTCCAGTATGAAATCTTCACTGGCATGTTTCTAAGACTAGAGTTTATTTAAAGGGAACATACATTGCTTTTGTATGTATTTTCTTCATTATATATAAAACTAAAAAAATAACGTTTAGGGCCAGTTCACTTTTCTGAAGAGAGCTTTTCTGTAAGGACACACAGAAATCAAGGGTTTCCTATGTGCCCCATTTGCACTTCTTCATAGCTTTGAGCTGCGGGGCAACGTCTGCATTTTTATGCACTGCTTCACAGGTCTCTATGCAACCCTGCGATTTTATATACATTTGCTCAGCTCAGCTGAGGGGGCCATGTATA